GGGTTTAGGGTTTAGGGTGTTTCCATAAGGTTTCAATCGAGCTTTATTGAGAATCCTAACCTCTGAACCCTGGCAGCTGAAGAAAACGGTTCTCCTCGCTGGCTGCTCCCCTGGCCTTGGCTCTCTCGGTTTGGGGCTAGGGGTTACCACAAGCATGTACGACGAGGCTTGCACTGAGGGAAACCATAAGTCTCAATAAGGATGACTCTAGGGATACTCTTGACGGTCTTTCTACAAGGGTTACTCTAAGGCTTCCTACTGTTCTATATCTACGGGGCTTCTACAAGGGCTACTGGGAGGATGAAGGGACTTAGTAAGCAAGGAGAGAAGTACCTTTGCTGGGGATACAAGCCGTTACAAGTATAGTTACCTTACCTATAACCCGAATTACCAAGTCCCATGATCTTTTAAGTACCCTAAGCCTCTTAGAGATCCCCTACAGAACCCTTTAAAACGTCCCATAAGGGCTGGTGTACTCGTTACTTTGAGGGCGATTCCTGCGCATCCCCGCCTGTCGGTCGGAGGCTCTGAGGATCCGGCTTCCAGTAGCTCCATGGCACGGAATCCAAGACAGATGACCTGCGGTTGATCTATAAGGGGTCCTTTAAAGGAATCTATAGGGTTAGGGTTTAGGGTTGATATACATCCTGCACTACCCATAATAAGGAATCCACCATAATTCCCATAGTCCAGCGTCATTGCGGGAATCCAAGACATATGACCTGATAACTCCACTTCGGGGACCTACAACCAATTAAATCCCATGATCCTCTAAGTAACATGCTGTGCAAGGCCTTTTTTGTGGAGGAGGGAGGCGATTTTGGGGCTTGGGGGCCTGGGAATATGGATCTTACCAGTTTAGCAGCCGATTGGCATGGTAACCCTTTGTTGCCACCATGGTACAAGCCTACCGGGCAGCCTCAAAGCCTTAAAGCCCCTAAACCCTAAACCCCTGAATAAAGCCCTGAAAGCAACCCTTACGGGGCCCCCAACCCCTTCTGGGCCTAAAACCTTCTTTTCCCAAAACCAGAGCGAAAAATGCAAAGCCCCCAACAATGATCTGCTGTAGATCACAGGGAAAGGAACAAAGAAAACAGGAGAAAGCCGGCCGGGAGGAGCGAGAAAGCAAGCTACAACTCTACTGCCGCGCAAGTGGTGTAGACCGGGCTACAAGAGAGGGGATAAATGCGAGCTCCGCGCCCGGAAACGCCTTCGGCGCGCCAGGGGCGCTCAGAATGTTATCCAACTCACCCACTACAGAAGGATGACCAACAAGAAGCGAGAAGCTGCGACTAGTCGTTCCGGTCCTCATTATCGCATCAGGAAGGAGCGAACGTAGCAAGCGAAGGCCGGCAGTACTGGGTACCCTAAAAACCCTAAAACCCCTAAAGACCCCTAAAAACCCCTAAACACCCCTAAAAGCCCCCTCTCGCGAAGAGCTCGTGGTCCAGACGATACGCTGAGCAAGCGGCACGAGATCCAGACCATGCCTAAGATGCCAAAAAGTCCATGGAAGCCGTGGGTTGGTGTTTCCCAGGGACTTCAATATCCCTCGATCAAGGCATATACCTTGAGTTATAGTAAGATCCCTAAGTTTGGGGTCCGTAAGGGTTGAGGGTTTAGAGCACTCTGATAGCCCAGGGACTTCAATAGCCCTCAATTAAGGCATATACCTTAAGTTATAGTAAGATCCCTAATATGATTTCAGGGATATTCCTTTATCAAGGGATATTGGAGTCTCTGGGTTTGGGGTCCGTTAGGCGAATCTAGGCATTTATTATAGCGGCGTTGACGTCTTAGGGTTAAGGGCTTTGGGCTAAAACGTAAACCCTAAACCCTTAAGGGTTAAGGGTTTAGAGCTTTGGTTTTCGGGTTCCAAGTGTTTTCTTCAAGCCCTGCCTTTCGACTTGCTACAGTGTAATATAGGGGCCTTACTTACTAGAATAGGGCTTCCTGTAAAGGGATCCTTCAAGGAAACTATAAGGGTTCTATAGAAGGTTCTATACAGGGGCCTTAACAATCAGAATAGGGTTTGGGGATATGCTAGACTATACTATACTTATAATAAGGAGCCCCCAAAATAGTGCTAGTGCTTATTAAGGCCTCTATACTACTTGCCGATCTAACACGGCATCTGAGCCCTGGGCAGCTAGGGCAATTATTCTGGCCCCCTGTGTTACACCCAAGCATCGGCCAGGTGAGGGCAAATTCTCAGGGCTTGAGATCAGGGCTTCAGGGTTTAGGTTTGGGGTTTAGGGAATAGTCGTGGTGCTTTCGGAAATGTCTGAGGGCTTAGGGTTCCTTTAAGGGGTCCTTATAAGGGGTCCTAAAGGGATCTATACGGGTGTCAGTGCTTTAGGGTGACGCATTGCAACATGCCGTGGTCAAGCATTCAAACAAGCTCGAAAAGGCACTCGGCAAAACAGAACAAGATCTCCTGCAGCTTACTAAGATGCATGAGAGCGCACCTTTGAATAGCTTATAATCCCTTTCTGCACCCGTGCATATGCACTGCCCAATACAAAGTAACTTAACCTGATACCCGCAGCTAAAATGGGGCAACATGCTCTATGAAACCATAGACTGTATCGCAAAGGCCCATAAAGTTGCAGTCAGATTACATGCGCTACTTTAGGGTGTCTATTAAAGTCTTACTACTTGTGTAAATACTCCCGTTAGAGTGTTGCTCTGGTTTGATTGTTACGATAGTATTCCTATATTCTGAATCTAACCTGCGGAGCTTGGCACACGCTCGGTTGCCAGAGGCTTTTCTCCAAGGGTAAAAGGAGGGACCCTTAATAAGGACCCCTAGGTATATACCCTTGATATAGCCATTATATACCCATTTTGCAGCCCATTATAGGGTAGGGGTCCCCATTAACGGTCCCTCCTTTTCAACTTTGATTTTCGACACCAGACCTTCTGAAACTAAGTGCCTTCAAGATCTCGGAAGCGAGGGCAAGCTGCTGTGCTTGGTAATCGCATTTCTTTCAATCTTGCCAGGTGCAACACGTCTAGAAGGCAAAAATAAAAAAAACACTATGATAAGAAAGATCTTTTTACTATAGTGCAACTAGAGTACGACTAGAATAAGACTCTAATTACATTGCATCATAAGGAAATACTATAATACAGCTGCAATGAGACTGTAACTATATTTTGCGATGAGCTTTAAGCCTCTGGCTGCTCCTCTGCTGTTAACGGCGCCATCTCCCCCTCATCCTCAACACGGACACAGGAGCGGCCTCAGCTGATCTTTGTTGGGTTTAGGGTTTAGGGCTTAGGGGTTTAGGGATCGATGTGAACCCAAATTGCAAAGGGACGCCAACATTCTCAGCTCCTCACAGAGAAGCCGGTCGCCTTTACTTCTCGCCAACTCCTCAACACGGCATGCGTTTCGCCTCTTTACCTTTGAAGCTGCCCCCACCCTGTAATAGTGGCTATAAGGATTATATTAGGGCCCCATTATATTCCTATTATACCACTATTACAGGGTGGCGGCCCCTTCTAATCTTGACCCGACACTCGACAACATTCAGTAGAATCCCGTGAACCTGCGTGTGTCTGGCGCACACTTTGCAAGCGGCAATGGGACCTCCCATCCGCGCCTCAGCAAAAGCGATGCAAAACTCACTCTTGCGCCAGGCTATGCTGCGACCCAACTCCTAAACCCGAAACTTTACTCATACTAATCTCAATACTAATACTAATACTAATCTCAATACTAACACTAATACTAATATCAATACTAATACTAACACTAACACTTGTTACTATCAATACGAATACTAACACTGATACTATTATCAGTACCAATACTAATTACTCACCCTAAGCCCAAAAAACCCTACTAATACTAATACCAATACGAACCCCCAAAAAAAACTCGAGCAATCTGCGGTGATCTTCGCGCCTGCTTCCCGCGCGTCAACAGCTTCGGCCTGGACGAGCCTCGGTGGTTTCCGAGAGCTTCGGCAAAGGGGAAGGGTCCTCTGAGGATTGTTCGGGTTTAGGGTTAGTACGGTTGATGATATAAATCCTGCATTACCCATCATAGGGAATATACCATAATTCCCATAGTTTAGGGTCCTTAAGGTAATGCAGGATTTATATAATCAACCGTATTAGTATTGACAGTCGTATTAGAATAAGTGTTAGTATTGATATTAGTATTAGTATTAATATTTGTATTAGTATTAGTACTCATATTAGTATTAGTATTGATATTAGTATTAGTAGGGTTTAGGGTTTAGGACCATACTACTTTAGGTATTTCATCGTAGCAATCATTGCAATCTTGATAATCACTAGCTATAAGATAGTTATCATAGCAATCAATGCAATCTTGATGATTTTTATAAGTATTTTGGTTATAGTACTCGGACAGCCCACCAGTGAACTTGGCACAGGGCTGCAGCTCGTCGGTATGGGCACGTCCTCATCGCCTTATCGTCTTCCACGCATGTCCACGTCACAGAGCTGTGACGTCTACTTAAAAGATCATGGGACCTAGTATCTAGGGTTATTAAAAAGGAAACTATGGACATAGCCTCAAGTAGAGTACTTCTAACCTTATCTGCTAAGTCCCCTGATCCTCCAAGTATCACGGCTTGGCAGAAACCAAGGATCCGACTCAAGCTTTTGCCCTCCCATGGAGAGAAGGTGCACCTGGGACGAGGACACACCCAGCAAGTCCACCACAAACAACCCTTCCAAGCAACTGAGGCCTCTGCAAGCAGCTCAGACCGGAAGTGCAAACTCCCATGGAACAGAAAGCCGCACAAGGCGGCTGGAACAGGAGATATTGGACTTGGAACAGCAAGCTTGCTCCGTAAGCTACGTAGCATTGTGAAGATCTCTGCTCGGAACATGCACAAGGCGGATCGACTCGAAGTTTCTAGTATGCTGCATAAAGGGTCCTGTCAGCCAACAGCTCAAGGCAAGATTTCATACTTCAACATCGTACGCACCGCAATCGCGCAATGCCCTTAGCCGGCGTCCCTCGAGGTCGACCCGGTCGTTTGGAGCACCCGGTCCAAAGAGACCAGCTGCCTTGAGGAAGGCAAGGGTTTAGAGTTTAAGGGTGCAGGGATTAAGGGCCAAGGATTTATGGGTAAACACCACACCCTAAACCCCAATTCCAAGGCTTCCGCTTCTTCTGCGCAGCCGAGATCAGCTTCATGGTCACCACGAACTCCTGCACCGGCTGGTAAGAAGGTCCCCTTCTAGTGCCTATATGATTACTGCAACATAAATCCCAAAACCATACAGTTCGTAAAGCCCCTACATTGGTGCTGAGTTACGGTCCGTACTCTTCCGATACTATCAAGCTACACACTCTCAGAGCTTCTTGCTGCAAAGTACAGGAATGACTGCTACAAGTCGAGCGTTTATCGCGACTGCATGTCGGAGAGCTTTGAAGCGCCTCCCATCCGAGACCACGCTTCTGCCGGTCGGAGATGTCCCAGATTCGCTTCAGGATCTGGGGCAGCAGAAGGGGTTCAGGGCCTTTGGGCTCAATGAAACTCTTAGGGTTTAGGGTTTAGGGTTTAGGGTTTAGGGTTTAGGGTTGTGTGTTGTAGGGATTTAGGGTTTAGGGTAAGGGGTTTCGGGTTTAGGGGCAGAGGGTTGACCAGGGAGTTTAGGGTTTAGGGTTTGCCGTTTCGGGTTCGGGGTTTCAGAGGTTGTGCAGACACTTACCTTGGGTTAGTGGGGAATGGAGGAATGGGGTACAATTACAACTACGATTACTACCATTCTTCCATTCCCTACTAACCAAAGGTAAGACTACCCTTATAGATCCCAGTATAGGGAACCCCTATAGATCCCTGTAAGGAGCCATTCCCTAGCCACCAAACGTAAGCTAACCCAAGGTAAGGACAAGGCATGATTACTACCATATTACTACCATACTACTACCATATTACTATCATATTACTACCATATAACTACTATTACTACCATTCCTCTAACCCAAGGGACAAGGCTAAGGATCCCTTTCAAGGAACCCTAAACCCCTATAGATCCCTTTAAAGGAGCCCTATACCCAAGGTAAGGACAAGGCCCTTATAGATCCCAGTATAAGGAACCCCTATAGATCCCTTTAAGGAGCCCTATAGATCCCTTTAAGGAGCCATTCCCTAGCAAGTAAGGACAAGGCATGCCAGGCTATCAGGCTGAAGCCTGACTATGGCCCTCAGCAGCGGAGGACCCGAAAGTCTCAGAGGGGATGCCCACAAGCCCCAAACAGTGAGCCTTAGTGTTGATGATATAAACCCTGCATTACCTTCAGGACCTTAAAAACCACGAGAATTATGGTAGATTCCTTATCATGGGTAATGCAGGATTCATATCAACCAGAATTGTTGCAACCCCGAAGCTCATCAGCCAACCACAGAACCCATGGCTTCCGAGGCCAAAACCCGAAACCCTGAACTCGAAACCCAAAGCCCAAAGCCCTACTATAGGGGCCTTAATAATTAGAATAGGGTTTTGGGGCCCATTATGCTATAGTTATAATAAGGAACTGGTACTTATTTAGGCCCCTATATTAAACCCTGAGCCCTGCCCACCTTCCGGAACTGCTCACAAGCCCCGCCCCTATCGAACTGCAGGTTTAGGGTTTAGGGTTTATGCATGTTTCAAGCACACCACAGGCCGAAACATAGACTGATAGAGGAACAAGGATGATGCCGCACAGCTGTCTTGGGCACTTGTAAGGGTCCTGTACCTTAAACCCCCTGAACCCTCGACTCTGCACCCTCAAAGCCTCAACCCTAAATCCTAAACTCTATAGGGGCCTTAATCATTAGAGTAGGCTCCTATATCAAAGCCCCCTAAACCCTAAACCCTGCAAACCCTAAACACCTAAAGCCCTAAACCCCAAAAACCCTGAAACCCTAAGACCCTGAAACCCTAAAACCCATAGGCTCCTTCCTATACTAAACCCCGGGACGGCATCAAAAACCTTTGCCGGCGACACCTCGCGAGGCAGCTGCGACTTGGAAAGAAAGTCAAAGGCAGCCTGCCACTAGGGTTTAGGATTTCAGGGTTTAGGATTTAGGGTTGTAGGGTTGTAGGGTTTCAGGGTTTAGGGTTTAGCAAGTTTAGGGGCTGCACAAGTTCGAGGTGGGGACCTACGGTTTTGGGTCTACTTGGAGGGCCAGGGGACTTAGCAAGTAGATTATAAGTAGGGTTATAACTGGGGTAACTCCATTTAAGGTACATATAGCTCTTGTTATAACCTACTTACTAAGTCCCCTGCCCCTCCAAGTAGAGGCTGTGCGACGAGACAGCGTCACAGATAACTCCCCAGAAGCTATTGAGCTCCTTTAGGGTTTAGGTGTTAGAGAGCTGTGCTGCAGGGATGGGCGGTCCTTTCCAGCCAGCGTCTCACCACTTGGACAGGCAATACCCCACAGAGTGGAGTAATACCTCGAAGGAGCCACAAGGAAGTGATTACTATCACTATTTGTTATTCTTATTGTTAGTGCTATTGCTATTGTCATGTATCTTTACTTTCATTATTACTTTTCTTCTTCCTGATATTGTTATCCCAATTACTGTTACTTTTGTTGTTGGCATCATTGCCTTGTCGTACTTGATCTTCTTCTGAGCTGGTTGCTGACCTGGGCTACCGACCCTCTCTCTGCAGAACTCAGAGAGTCCACGACCAAAGTGAATTCCTCACAGGATCTCATAGGGTTTTAGGGTTTGGGGGTTTACGGTTTAGGGGTTTTATTATGGCTGCCATGCGCTTCCGATTGTACATTGCGAAATGCGGAATAATTTTGGCTGGCGCGTCGGCGCAGCTACCAGGGGTTGAGGGGTTAGGGGTTTCGGGTTCAGGGTTCAGGGTCTTGGGTTTCATTACTTAGTTGTTAGTAGCTAGGGCTAAGCCCCCTGATCCTCCAAGTAACTAGACGTGCAGGTGCAGAAACCACCGAAGCTGCAGGCCTGCTGGTCCTTGTCTGCACCAGGCGTCCTAGGATGAGAGACTTCGACACAGGTCACAGGTCCGAAAGCAAACGACACTATAGCTTCCAACCGAAATCTAGGATGCAGACGGTGGAGGGGCCTGCTGTTGCGGCGGTTGCTGCTGTTGCTGCTGCTGCAGCTGCTGCTGCAACAACTGTTGCTGATGTTGCAGTTGTTGCATCATCACCATCTGCTGCTGCAACTCTGAAGGAATGCCTGCACAGAAAAGTTCACTCTGAGCGCTCCGGAACTTGCTGCAGCGGCCTGTGGTAAGGCCAGGCATGCCCTGAACCTTGCATAAAGCCGGGCTCTTGTTAAGGGGTTGAGTTTAAGTTACCATAATAGGGATCCATAGCAAATAATAGGCTTTCTTGAGTATGGTAACTTAAGTTAAGCCCCGTAACAAGAACCCAGTAAAGCTGGTCGCAAGCTGCACTTAGCATCGACACATCCTCAGCAGCAGACCCCTGGCATGGCAGCTGGGAAGGACATCCCGCATCCTGTCAGCGAATTCCAGCCGAAATCCAAGATGCCACCAAGACTTACCTTTGGTTAGTAGGGAATGGAAGAATGGTAGTAATAGTAGTTATCATTGTCCCCATTCCGAATTCCTCCATTCCCCTGCTAAAGGTAGGTAAGAAGAGAGTTGAGAAGGGCACCTCCATCAGGCAAACCTCGGCCGTTCCCAGACAGCGTTCATCGGTGACTTCGATGTCTTGCTTGAGTACTTCTCTCCTTTTCTCTTTTCTGAGAATGACCTCACCTAGCAAACCTAGCACCAAAGGAGCACAGAAGCTGGAAAACCTACGTTGAATCACACAGAGAGGGAGAGAGCGAGAAAATCATGCCTGCACAAGCGGCTGACATGCCTAAAACGGAAACCCGCACACGAAAACCACAACAACCACACTTGTAACAACAACCATGTCTTTCAGAGAAGAACTTGCAACAGCAAGAGCCGAATCACCGACACAAGACCTGTGACGATACTCAACCAACATCGGCTGGGTTGGAGCACCCGTGTTTGGCGTTGCCAACTCTGTGTCTGTCTGTCTGGCTGTCTGAGACAGGTCCTTTGCTTTGCTCGGGGTTTAGGGCAGGAGCAGTCCTCCCGCCCTGCGCGAGCGCGCTACCCCATCCACTATTTAGAGTGGAAGGGCTCTGCTGTACAGAAAGGTGTGTGCCCTGCTGTTCAGGGGGCAGTGAGTGAGACAGGTCCTCTTTCCGTCTCTGTCCCTGTCTCTCTCGTCTGTTTTCTGTGTATACGTGAGTCTGTATGTCTGTCTCGCACTGTCTTGCGCCGCTTCGAGGAGAGAGGGCAACATGTGCCCTAAAGCCTCACCCCGAGCACCCCGAGGGGAAACATGTCCAACTGCCTCTGCCAGTCGAAAAAAAGGCGCCCCCTGTTTCAAAACCGATCCACACTCTGATTGCTGGCTTCTTGGAGTGGCTGCCAGGCCCCTTCTTAGAGTGGCGTTTTTACTGGAAGGGCACTTCGTCGGGTCTCTGCCATTCTCTGCCTCTCGCTGTCCGCAGCTCTCGCTGTCACTTGCTCTCGGCTTGAGCCCAGAGAGCCCAATGACCCTTAATTAATTAAGGAATCCCCTTATAATTTAAGGTATTGGGCTCTCTGGGAATGCCAGCGAGCCTCCGGAGGTAGCAGCTGTGGGCCTCCCAGGGAGCCAACAATGCGAGGCTTTCTCGAAGCAGTAGCCGAAATTCTCCAAAACGCGGAGAGGCCGCTGCTGGATGCCCATCATGGCTTGCGGGAAGGCGTTGAAGTTGCCTGCAGTTCCAGTATTGCTATTCTTTGCCACCATTCTATTATTTTACGATTAGGACGATTTGCGATTATGACGATTATTGCGATTCTTACGATTGTCACCATGCTTACCAGTGTTACGATTACTGCTGTTACTAATAGTACTACCTTTAATATTAGTACTACTCTTATTACTATTACTACGATTACTATTACTACGATGATTACTTTGATTACTATTTTTAATGCTATCATGACAAGTACTACTGTTAGTTTTTTGATATTAGCACCATGAAGCCGCTACTGCAGAATGCTCAGCATTTTACAGGAAGATGCCGCCTGCCCGCGGCAGACCGATGCTTCAGCTTTTGAATACTTAAAGGATCCTGGGACTTAGTAACTTTAAAGGGGTCCTTAAAGGGATCTATAAGGGTTTCCTTAAACGGGATCTATAGGGCTTAGGGTTTAGGTCTACTTAAAGGATCGTGGGACATAGGAACTGGAGTTATAAATAAGGTAACTATACTTGTAAGTAAATATAACCCCAACTGGAAGACTTGTAACCTTACTGACTAAGTCCCCTGATGCTCCAAGTAGGAAGTTGCAAACCCTTCCCCTTCAACTGTATTTGTGAGGACCCTAAACTCTAAGCCCCGAAGTCTGAATTGCGAGGACCGTAAACCCTAAACCCTAAATCGTTGTGTCGGGCCCCGACTGCTCTACTGCTGCCTCCTGTACGCCGGTTGAACTCCATCCTGGACTTCGCCCTATGCCCAAAACATGGGAGTTTCGGGCAATAAGGGGCCCGAATCCCGGCGGCCCTAGAAATTAGGAAGTACCCGGTAGGGTCTTCATGAAGATATGTGCCTTTCTCGCTTTTGACCGGTAGAGTCCGAGTCGCGTATGAAGATATAGAAAAGTGTCTGTGTGTGTGTGTGTGTTTATATACATATATTTTTTTCTATGTAGACATGTGTGTATATGCTCATGTACATGTATATGCACATGTGTCTGTATGCATGCATGTACATAAGTTTGTATGATCGCACGTATGTATGTATGCATGTATGTATGCAAAATAAACGCATGCTGTGCACATGTCCATATCCTAAAGGTCTGTGTGTGTGTGTTTATATTTGGAAATACAGATAGATAGATAGATGGATAGATAGAAAGATGTACATGTATGTGTGCATGCATGCATGCAGATACATAAGTGTACAAGCCTGTGCAGATGCATACGTGTATGGACACGTGCACACACGCATGTCTGTGTGCAGAGGTATGGAGAAAGAGAATGTGCACGCTGTGCATATACATATATGCATGTCTTGATGTGTGTTCATGTAGGCGTGTGTGTCTGTATGTATGTATGCTTACATATCTGTACACATAAACGTACTCATATTCAACTACGTATGCATGCCTGACCTGATATAACCTCATTTGATATGGTGTGATGTGACATCATTTGATACGACGTGACCTGGTATGATATGACAGGATATTTACCCATGCATATATGCACAAAGCCGATGTATGATACATGATACCTATGTTATATGTGTATGTACATCTCGATATACTTATACATATAGCGTACATATTTATATATCTGTACATAAATATACACATATATGCAGATGTCTGTGTGCATGTATGTATGTATGCGTGCATGTATGTATGTAAGTATGTGTGTGTGTGCACATGTACATGTAGCTACATGCACATGTATGTACATATGTAGTTCTGGGTACATTCACAGCCATGTATGTATACACGCATACATACATACGTGCATGCATGCATACATGCATGCATACATACACACCTCCAAATCTGCCTACATACATACATACATACATACATATTCTGTCGGTACATGTAATATATATATATATATATATATATAGCTACTTATTTGCTTACTTGTTTATATACATGTATGTGAGGTGTTTGTGTGTATATGTGATATATACACCTTTTCTTCTCGGTTCACCGAAAGCTTCCCCCCGTTCCCCAACCTCCATGCGGAGCATCATCGCACGATCCTGCTGCCACCACACTGCCACAGTCCCAGAATAACGTGATTCTTTCGGACGCCGTGGGAGAGGTCACGATGCGTGATGGTGATGATGATGACAATGCGAAAGTCCTAGGAGACCGAAGCCCCGAATCACACACCCGAGATTTCTAACAGGCCCAAAACCAAGACGCAAATTCCAAACCACACCTCAGGCAGTGGTCACCAACCATGATGATACTACCGAAGACCCCATGCCACACCACACCACGAGGTGGTAAAAACAGTGTCCATGTGAAGGTGCACACATGTGTGAGTGTGTGTGTGTGTGTTTGTGTGTAAACACGTGCGTACATGTGTGCGTGTGTGCGTGCGTACGTCCGCATACATATGCGTGTATATATATATATATACATACATATATATATATATACATACATACATACATACATATGAATATAAATATATATCATACTTTTATGTGTTTATGTATATACATGTAGGCCCACATTGCACGCCAACCTACATACCTACGGACATACCTAAATACATGCACATATGCATATGCATATCCATATACATATCCATATATCCATATATCTATATATATATATATATATACATGTACATATATACATATATACATGTGTATATATATATATATATATGTCTCTGCGTGTTATGTCTTTATATCAGAACTTGCATTTGCTCAAGAATTCGAAACTTTAATGGACAGGCTTTCCGGCTTCGGCCCTGCGGGATTGCACTCAACGGAGTGCATGCAGCATGGAGGGGCTTGGAGTGATGCTGCAATGACCCCCACGTTTTGGGGTTGAGGGCTTGGGGTTAAGTGTAAGATGCCACCGTGTGAACACGCAATCACGGCCGCAAGCAATTGCAAGAGACAAGACGAACCGGCAAAGCACAAAATCTGGAAACAGACGTCGCAGATTACAAGGCCTTGCCCAGCCCACGGCATACCTCCTGGTTGAGCTTGACCTGCTATTGCACTTCTCATGGCTGCAGACTCACTGAAATCGACTGGCATGGATTCGCAATCATTGAAGCCATGTCACCATTCATCTTGAATCAGTCCTGCGCAGCCTCACAGACAACGTCCAGCGACTGAGCAGCAAAATCCCATGTACACCTGGGAGGGAAAGAAGTGGCCTTTCCACCAAGTTCCGATGCTGGAATGTCTGGCAGAGCCATCACCTGGTCTTTGCGCTTCGCAGCATTAAGCTTGGACTCGCTTCGAAAGTCGTAAGCTGGGGCTCCCTACGTTTCTCTGCCAAATGAACCTCGTCTGAATCGTGGCTACGCAGCTACAGTAAAAGCCAGAAAGTTGGAATATGGTTTCAGGGTAGGATACCCTAAAATTTACCATAAAGGGTTTAGGATAATCATATTCCAACTTTCTGGCTTTTGCTTTAAGCTATGCAGCTTCTACGAAGCCTTGCAGCTCGGGTGCCAGATCAGTGCAAAGAAGCCAACCAGCCACACCACGTACCTTGGCACGAACACCGACAAAAAAAGCACTACTTGGAGGATCAGGGGACTTAATAAGTAAGGTTATAAGTACCCTACTTGGGGTTATAAGTACTTATAAGTATAGTTACCTTATTCATGTTACTAAGTCCCATGATCCTTTAAGTACAGTATAGCTTGCCGCCGCCCCCTCAGCAGGATGCTCAGTCCAGTCGGACGCAGTGCCCTCAAAGCCCTGGCCAATCGCCCTGAGTGGCAACAACGCAAAAATTGGGCCGCAGACAAATCTCTCATAAATTTCGTACCCAGAGACTCCAATATCCCTAAATTAAGGAAAATCCCTTAAATCATATTAGGGATCCTATAATAATTTACGGTACATTCCTTAATTAAGGGATATTGGAGTCTCTGCAGGCCGAGATTGCGGCCAGATATTCAGCGACGCAGCCGGTTTCTGTATGACCTGCGGACGTTTTCACACTCAAACTTGAATGCAAAGCACACTGCAGAAAATGGGCCCTGACTTGGCCCTCCATGACGTCGGTCGAAGCTACGTGCTCGGAGGTATTTTGATCCAAGGACGAGGAAATTTTGTTGTTAAGGGACTTAAGCCTTTAGGGTTCAGGGTTTAGGGGTAGATCACGGTTAAGGGCTTAGGGTTGAGGCCGTCACTACTCTCCAACCTCCACATGCGACAACTTGGCCATTTCGGGTCCATGGTGCGAAATGGTGCGAGGCATCTATTTCGACACATGCCGAGCCATTCTCTTCGCCCCACACGTGTGTGAAACAAGATAGGCCAAGATCCTTGCACAAAGTTGTTTGCACGTAAATACACGGCAATTCGACTCAAGCAATTGGCTTAGCAACATCAATTGTCGGCACGAATCTCGCCTGCAAGACATAGAATGTCCTTAGGACATAGAGTCTGTGAGTTCAAATCTTCAGGGTCGTCCCCATCTCGTGATGTGTACCGGTTTCTGATGATCTCATCCCCCCGCGCATGGGTTGTTGTTAAGGAATAAAATTTTTAAGTTGCCGTTATAGGGATCTCTCGTAAATAGTATGGTTTCCGTATTATGGTGCCTTAAACTAAATCCCTTGACAGGAATCCAGGTGGATGGATGCCATCACATAGTCGATGTGCTCAAGCCCCTGCCACGGCGAAAGCATGCAGTGACGCTCACAAAGCAGCGGATCTTCGAAAGGAGAGCTTCGAAAAGGACCAGTAATGACCAGTAGATTTTAAGGGTTTAGGGTTTAGGCAAAAGGACACCCCTGCGTTTAGGGTTTCGGGATTTAGATATGGGCAGTGCAGCATTCAACGCAACGCATATGTCACGCTGGCAGCGGCCAATCGCCACTTCCACGAGACGAAAACCACAAGCACATGGGGGTTTCCGAAAACAGGGGGTACCTTTTTTTGGGATCCTTATAATAAGCATCCTACTATTTAGGGTGCTATATTAGGGTCCCCTATTTTCGGAAACTCCCACATGTCAACAGGACTTGCCATGACAAGTCGCAAATCCCTGAGATGTAAACTTACATCATAAGGGTTTAGGGTTTACGGGCTAGGGTTTAGTTTCTAGAAGTGTCGTGCCTGAACGAAATCTGCAAATCATCCGATGGCTAGCGGAGGCAGATTTCTGACCTTGCGGCAAGCGCTCGTCCTGCATCTGTGCCACTTCGCTCCACCGTGCCTTCTTTTGCACGGGAACTTTTCCAGTCGCCTGGCAAGGCCAATCCCGTCCCTGCGCGTTTGTCCTTGCACGCCTGAGGCTCGCACCGTCCACTCGTGCACCTCCAGGTCCTGCAGAGCCTGCGCAGGCTCTGTTTTGGGCCCTGGTGGGAGCAAAGAAGGACCCAGAGAGCCCAATACCCCTTAATTAAGGAATATAGCTTAAATTGTTAGGGGATTCATATTATGATTTAAGCTATATTCCTTAATTAAGGGTAATTGGGCTCTCTGGGGAACCCAACACCACTTTGAGCTTTCAGCGCCTCGGCCATTGACTGATGTCTGGGCGTGACCTTGTCGTCCTGCATCGCCATCTTAACAATGAAACTCCCGAGGTACCCTGACGGCAACGCTTCTGAAAGTCCCCCTAAACCCTTAACCCCAAACCGGAAAAAAAAAAAAAAACGCCCCTAAACCCTAGGTTCTGAACCTTCAACCCTAAACCCTTCAACCTAAGCCCTGAGCTCTTTCATGAAAGCACCCCCCCCCTCTTTTCACACCAGCGCATGAAGGCAAGGAGAAAGGGGCCCCAAAGGGCCGAAGCGCTCCGAGGTGAAACGAGCAAAGGTGACAAGGGGAGCTTAGGGGCTCGGCGGTAGAGTGTTTTTTTACACGTGTGTATGCCTATATATATATATATATATATATATATATGTATGTTATGTATATGTATTTACATATACATATGCATATACATATACATATGCATATACATATACATATGCATATGCATATATATATATATATATATGTATATATATATGTATATGTGTATGTATGAAGTATGTATGTATATATGTATATATGTCTATTCGATCATTCCCCAGAGGGGTCCGAGCTGGGCAGAAAGCGACGCATCACCATGCAGCTCCCCAGCTGCGTTCTTAAATTAAATGAGCCACTCTTCTCTTGGAGAGTCAATCAAAAAAAGAAGTTGAGCACACCCTTGTCCTTTTAGAAATAATAGACAGAGCCCTATACCTATATCCCTTAGTAGGAATTATTTAAGAAGGTCTACAAGCCGGTCTGTTTATTCTTTGGGGGAACCATGAAGAAGGACAAGGCTGGTTGAGCACCTTATGCACCTTTAAGCCCGGAAAGGCTGGGGCCGTTCTTGGCCCATTAGCACAACTGTGCGCAAGGCTGGGCTGCGGTCAAAAACTCGCAGCGAGCACCTTAAGAGTTTAGTCCTTGTACCGTGAACTGCGAGCTCACCATACTCATACATAGTATACGAAACGAGCGCCGCCGCGCTAGGCGTCGACGCATGCTCGACCATGTCCTCAGAAGCATAGAAGAGCCTGCACCCTGGACCCCAAGCACCACAAGGGCACTGCAAGCGCCCAGAAAGCCCGAGAAACCTGAGCCCTCCGCCGATCACCCGCCACAGCGGCCAGGCGAGTTAGAGTTCCTGGGTTCTCAATACGACTTACCTCAACATGGGAGTTTCCGAAAATAGGGGACCCTACCTAATATAGTACCCTAAAGAGTAGGATTCCTTTTCTAAGGACCCCAAAATAAGGTACCCTAACCTTCGGAAACTCCCACATGGATCTATAGTTATCACCGAGACAAAAGTTCGACATACGGAGAATACTCACAGTATACCATGAACATCGGCCACGGAGAAACGGCGAGGCCACAGGCATGGCAGAGTCGTTGAATTCCTGGAATACCTGTATCCTACTATACAGTTCTCGCCGGAGAGCCTTTGGGATCTTTGCGTGATGTCAAGATGCAGGCCGTGTGGCGAACTGTTATCCTGCGGTAGTACTAGTAAGAAACGAAGAAGAATAGTAATGAGAATAAACACAAAACAAAAATCACAATGCTTGTAAAAGTAATAGTCATAATGGTTGTGGTAAGAAGAGAAATCATAAGAAGACGAATAACAAAAAACCCTTACCCCCAAAACCATAAACCCGTAAACCTAAACCCCGAACCCCTCAACACTCAACTCCAAACTTAGGATGGTACAACCCCGAAGCCTTCTTGCAATTGTCAACTATAGTAAGCCACAGTCCGCTACTGTAGGAACCTGATTAAGAAACCCTGGTCCTATAACGCCCAATATGGTAGGGTTCATAATAAGGAACCCTAATAGAGGCCCAGGTTCCTACATCACCCCCAAACTTCTTCAAGAGCCGAGGTTCGAAGACTACCCGTTCCGGCTCCTCCGGCGAGAGAAAACGCTGCCTCGTAGGCCTCTGCTGCACGAACGAAGGCCTCGGGGCACCAAGGGTTCCTTTAAGGGTTTTTCGGGGGGAAGGTTTAAGGGTTTAAGGGTTTAAGGTTTAAGGGTTTAGGGTTTAGGGTTTAAGGGTTTAAGGGTTTAAGGGTTTAGGCTTCTTGTTAAGGGATCTATAAGGGTTCCTTGAAGGGATCTGTAGGATTGAGGAATGGAGGAATTGGGTTGAGGGTTGAGGGGTTGGAGTTTAGAGTGGACGGGTTTCGGGTTCAGGGTTTGGGGCTTGGGGTTTAGGGTCGAGGGCTCCTGGGCCGCCGCACTGAACTTCTCTTGCATCTTCTTAGCAGATCTGAGGGGCTGACACCGGCGGCTGTTGGGGGACCTCCCGATAGCACCGGAAGAAGTTAGGTTGACTACCGTCTGCGGCACCGATACCAACAGCATGCAGGCCCTTCCTGGTAGAGCTCTTCGCGCTGCAGCTGGGGATGCGCTCGACGATCTTGGAGGTTTTGCTGCAGCTGCGACTGCTGCATCTGTAGCTGTTGCAGTTGCAGTTGTTGTTGTTGCAGCTGCAGCTGTCGAGCTGCTGCTTGTTGCATTTGCGTCTGGGGTTGGAGTGGGTACATTGCAGCATTCATGGGAGGCATTGACTGCATTGGCATTTGATGCACCCCGTCACCCGCACAGGGGCGGTTGCCGTGCGGCATGAAAGCCTCTTGGAACCAAGGGCTTGGCGGCTCCATGCACTGCTCCGCATAGCCCATCCCACCATAATTCGCGTAACTGCGGCCATAGGATGCCACCCGGCTATTGCTTTGAGAGTTACGGTAGTTTCTGGCATTCGCAGATGAGCGTGACGACTGAGAGGAACCTGCAATCGGGATCACAGCAGCTCCAAGCAACACAGGGTGTGCAAGGGGGGTGCGATAAACAAGTGCCAACACTGAATTGCAAGCAACTTCAGCGCAGAGCAAATTCAGCTGTCTGGTGCTTAGTAGGGAATGGGGGAATGGATACCTATAGTAGTCCCTGTATAATCCCCAATAGGGGTGCCCATAATCCATTCCCCCCCATTCCCTACTACAGCAACAGACAGCCTGCTAAGAACCCTAAACCCCTATAGTACAACCCTTATAGGAACCCTTATGGGTGGTTGCCAAAATTAGGGCCCCTTTTTGGGTACCCTAAATATTAGGTGTCGTAGTATAATAAGGACCTAAGAAGGGACCCGAGTTTTGATAACCACCCTTAGAGTAACCCTTAAAGGAACCCGACTCGCTACTACTGTTGATGATAGAAATCCTGCATTACCCATAATGAGGAGTATACCATAATTCCCATAGTTTAGGGCCTTTAAGGTCATGCAGGATGTATATCATCAACCCTAGCACCCCTTAAAGGAGCCCTATTCCCTACTAGGCCTTGGGATCTGCCGTATGCCTCTGGCCGCCAGGATGCCGAAGTATCTGTGCTGGAGTCCTGGCCATATTACGAGAAGCCCAGACCTTCCAAAATCCCCCCTAATTAGGGGATCAGGGATTAGGGGATTAGGGTTTAGGGTATATCCCTTAACTAAGGAATATACCCTTGAATTATAATAGGGTCCCTACTATGATTTAGGGTGTAGTCCTCAATTAAGGGCTTTTGGAAGGTCTGGGAGCTTGCGGGAATAAAAACTGCTGCGACGCAGAAACCAAGACTGCGATGGGCCTTTGGGCATAGTAGCATGGCATGGAATCCTAAACCCCAGAACCCCCAAAACATCCCCCCTCAAAAAAACGAATCGTTTTGCTCGAGTGAACATGTCGAACCTGGAATCTCTCCGTACCGGAAGGCTTTTTTTGAGGGCCCTTCTTACATCTGCAAAGCCGGACAAGCAGTATGCCATAGAAAGCCCTTCCAGTGTAGGGTTTAGGGACTAGGGCCTAGGGTCTAGAGAGAATCAACCCCCAAATCCCAGACCCTTGACCCTAAACCCTGTTGCTGCCTTCCGGTGCTCGCTCTCAATTCGGGCCACAAGTTCCTGTGCTTCGGCAAACCTCTGCAAAGTCAGCCCGGTCGTCTCTCGCACTGAACTCACAGAGCGCCCAATACCCCTCAAACGAGAAAGATGCCGTAAGTTCTAGGGGGCTCCCGAAACACTAAACTCTGAGTCGTATAATCTAGGTTCTCTTCAACCCTGCAAACCCTAAACCCTAAATCCTACATCCTTAGCCCTTATCAGGCGTATTGCGCACTCTGGCTGGATGCTGCGCAGACAAGGCCCCAACAGTTCCGGGGTCACGCTCTCCTGGAAACGGGCGGCGACGTCCTCGAGTCAAGACGAGGGCCAGCTACAACACCCACACCATCACTCAACCCCCAGAACCCTAAAACCGTAAAATCCACAAAACCCAAACCCCGCAAAGCCTAATTCATTACAACCCTAAACCCGATAAATCGTTCCCGAGTCCTTGAGAATACCCGAATACTAACCCTTACAATACCCTTATAGCAGTAGCCTCACCCCTTGCCCGCCTTCACTCGGCGTCCGTTGTCAAACATTGCCATCACGAGATCATGATGGCCAGCCGACACCTTTCTTGGGTTTAGGGCCCAGGGGCTTCGGCCGTAGGGCTTACGGCTCGTTTAAGGGCTCTAGTGAGGGATCCTATCTTTATGGGCTTGGGGGTTCAGGGTTTATCCAACCCTAAACCCTAAACCCTAAACCGTAAACCCTAAACCCTAAACCCTAAACCCTCTCTTCTTGCAGAACGCCGATCACTCTTTGAGCGCCTCTTTCCATCCGCCAGTTAGGGGGTCGAGAACCAGCGTTTGTGGGAGGCTGGAGCATGACCCTTTGAGTTTGGGGTTTAGGGCTTAGAGCCTTAGAGTGAAAGGTTTAGGGTTCAAAGTCGAGGGTTCAGGCGCAGAGTTTAGGGTTCAGGGCTTAGAGTTTAGTTTAGGGTTCAGGTTTTCGAACTTAAAGCTTTACGAAAACCCTCTTGGGATTCTTCACCTTCTGGCCTCCATGTCGTTCCCGGATGCCAAGATAAAGGCAAGGTTCGGACCTGACTTGCTCCAGCAGATGGCTCAGATCACAAAGAAAATCCCTGAGAGCAGCCTAAGATCCCCGCATTAAGGAGGCAAATGTAGGAACCTGATTAAGAAACCTTGGGCCTATAACGCCAAGAAGTAGGGTTCATATAAGGAACCCTAATAAAGGCCCAAGGTTTCTTAATCAGGTTCCTACTTATATTCAATCACAATATTGAGGCCCGTATAGCTGAAGGAACATTCCTTGTACCAGGGGTCGGGGCCTGTCCGGCAACCTTCAAATGCGCAGGCTGAGTTGAGCTGCGCACAGAAGCCCTGCACGTAAGCGGACTTCACCAATCGAAACTGTTGCGGCCCTCGCGCCTGAAGGCAGTGCTTGTACAGCCCTGCAAGTTGCGTTCATGGTCGAAGGAACCCAAAGGGGATCATAATCTACAAATGATGGAGATGGCGATGAATGTGGAGGTCATAATGATGGTGACCTGGGTAGTAGCAGTAACCATTTCGATGATGATGATGAGGAGGAGGAGGAAAACAAAGAGGAGGAGGATGCCGATGCTGACGGCGATGTTGACGACGACAATAATGTCGACGATGCCGGCCATGATGACGATGACGATGGCGATGGTGAATGATGACGACGGCGATGGCGATGGTGAAGACGCTGGTGACCATGGTGATGATCGTAACGATGGTGACGACGATGCTGACAACAACAATGATGACGATGGTGACAACCCTTATGACAATGCCGATGATGATGATGATGATGATAGCGACTACGGCAACCACAGTAGGACTCATAGAAGTAATAGTAATGAGATGGATACAAATAAGGCTGATCGGACCGATAACAACATAACAGTCAGTAGAGTCCAGTACTCGAATCGAAAGCCGCAAGAGCCTTCGCTGACACACAGTAATGAGTAATGATACTAACAACAAACCATGGCATGAAACAGGACAGTACCGCTCACAATGCTAAGAGCAGTCGAAGGCAGTCGCATGTCAAAGCAAGAAGCCCTAAACATTGAACCCCGACGCGTTGCACCTTGCAGAGGGCGCTGAAGCCGATCCTGGCGAAGGGCAGGTGTCCCTGTGCTCTGTTGAGTGCTTGGGTGCTAGTTGGTCTCAGGGTTGAAGGTTCTTGTGTCGTGAGTAGGTTCTTTAAACGGGGACTTAATACCTGGTTATTTTACGGACTTATAAGTACCATAACCCCAATTAAGGCCCCTTTTAGGGTACTTATAGGTCTACTTACTACCTATTCTTTAAAATGCATGAGGCCTCAGGGTTCAAGGGGTCGCGTGGCTCACCAAAAAGGGCTCGGTCGTATTCGATCGTGGTTCGCGCTCCCACCCCCAGCACCCCCCGAAAGCTGCGCTTCTTGACCTTTGGTAAAGCTTTGGCTTAAAGATTCTCTGTCAAGGTGCAGAGTTTGCCGAACCCGAAACCCTAAACCCCATACCCTAAACCCTAAACCCTAAACCTTAAGATTTCGGGCTGGCTGTTGCCGATCCGTTTCTGTCTCTTCCTCTGCCCTTTGAACTCTGCCAGTGTCTCGATTTGACGAGCTTGTCGAGGACAGAAACTACTTGGAGGGGCAGGGGACTTAGTATGTAGGTGATAAGTAGAGTCATAAGTACACGAAATGGAGGTAGGAAAATTATAAACGACTTACTAAGTCCCCTGGCCCTCCAAGTATACTATGCGTGATATACTATACCATAAAGCGCCCTACCATATACAGTATATGCTTTAGTGTATATTACATTTTACAGGTATAGACTCTACAGTCACAACCAAATACGATAATACACCTCAGGTACTATAATGTTCTAGAATATGCTCTGGTATACTATAACACATGCGTAACGATAATCTTTCACGATACACAGGAAGGGCTTCCCGCCGAACGAGAACCAAAAGCCTTCAGAGTTCCCCCTGGCAAATCGTGTTTCCCTTTCACATCCAGTGTCGTTGGGGCCTGCTGAAACGCCGCAGCTATGTTTAGCATATTATGGTATATTCTGGCGTATTGTGGAAAATGAAAATTTTCGTATTCCGACTGGTTGCCGAAATCTCACCAACACAGCCAATCGAGGAGATGCTGCACTTGAGCCAACATGGAAGCGCTAACTCTCTCTCTCTCTCTCTCTCTTCCCCATGTCCTCGCGGACTCCTCGTCAACATAGTTGACCTTGGTTCGGGGTCTAGGGTTGGGTGTGGGGCTTAGGGTTTAGGCTTAATTCTTGCAGTTCTAGAAGCCACAGAACCCCAAACCCTAAACCGCACCCCAAAACATGCGGTCAACCCGACACCGCCCTGCCCAGCGACCGCCAGCCAAGGGACGAAGGCCAGCCCTAAGTTCGTCGAAGTCTTGCTCCCCACCGGCACGTAAACGAGGTCAAAGTTCTCCGTGATCATGAAAAGCCTGGCGACTCTGAGGGCTTGGGGTTTGGGGTTCAGAGTTTGGGGGTTTAGGGGTTTAGGGTGTAGGGTTTACGGGCTAGGGTTGGGGGTCTAGGGTACGGTGTAGGTTTTGGTTTAGGGTTGAGGGTTCTGCACAGAGAAGTGGCTCAAAGTCAGGGAGTAGGGTTGAGTCCTAAAGCTGAAGAAGTCGTGCGCGCTACACTAATGCTCCCTCCAGTGTTCCAATGACCATCCTCACCCGCAACCCTCAACCTTCAAACACAAAAGCTTAAAACCCTGAAGCCCTAAAGCCACAAAAAGCACCTACTGCCTTCTCCCTAGTGCACTATAGTATACTAGAGTAATTTATAGCATACTATGGTATACTATCATATATATGTATATAGGTACATATAATATATATATATATATATATATATATATATACATATATATATATGTATATATATATATATATATGTATGTATCTGTGTAATATACTAGAATAACAGAAATACGATAGCAAAATATGGCATACTATAGTGTATCTTGATATATCTCGGAAGGCATCCTGAAGGCCTGAACTCCGAAGAGATATCCCAGAGATGCGGAGCCAGGGCACCCAGAGACTCCAATATCCCTTAGTTAATACCTTAAACTGTAGTTGGATCCCGATATGATTTGAGGGATGTTCTTTTATTAAGGGATATTGGAGTCTCTGGGCAGATTCGGCTGTGATCGCCGCGTGCTTAGGCTTTGGGTTTGAGGTTTAGGGTTTCGGGTTTGGGGTTTAGGGGTTTCTTTTTTATGCCCTCTGTTCGGCCAGCTGTTCACCCCCAGAGAGCCAGTTTGGCTGAGGGAGGTTGACACCCCCCGAGGGCTCAAGGTGGCAGCAAGGCAAACAACAGCACTTAGGGTTTAGGGTTTAGGAAGCTCACAGAAGTCATATTAAATCCAAGAAATATGGCTCACATCACCTCTTTGCATCTGGCTTTGATGGTGAAGACGCGTCTTGCTTATCGAAGCTCTAGTCTGTGGTACCACCAGGTGCTATGACCATGCTTCTCCGGGTAGGGTTGGCCTGTGAACAGATTGCGTTCTGCTCGGACACTTGACTTCCACATGGCTGACTTTTCCACAGATCCAACTTGGAGGGGCACGGGACTTAGTAAGTAGGTCATATGTAGAATTATAAGTGCCCTAAATGGAGTTACCCCAATTATAACCCTACTTATAACCTACTTACTAAGTCCCTGCCCCTCCAAGAACTGCTGTTTCTCTTCAAATCCTGCGTTGCTTTCGGGCCGAACTCAGGATCCGACTATGGTAAGGTTGAGGTTTGGGCTTCGGGTTGTCCCATGTGGGTGGTTGTTATTAGGATGCCTTTTTGGGTACCCTAAATACTAGGTGCTGTATTATATTTAGGACCCAAGAAGGGACAATAATTTTGACAACGACCCATATAACCCTAAACCCTAAACCAAAAAGGTCCAATCTGAGCCCCCCGGCAGGCGAATGAAAGCATCGAGGCTCATACTTCGGGCCACACCCCTGCACCCACAAGCAGACGGGTTTAGGGTTTAAGGGTTTAGGGGTTTAGGGTTTAGGGTTCCCCAGGTTTGGGAATCAAGCTTCGAACCTTAAACTTTCAACTCGAAATCCTCAATGTTCTCAACAGGATAGGCCTGATCATTATGGTTGTCGCTCCAGCTGGCAACCCATCTGTTGGTGACTCCTGCCAGCATGCAGATCCAGACACTGACTCCGATTGAACGACCATGGGACTTAGTCACTAAGCAAACTTTTAATAAGGAAACTACACCTAATCCAAATAATCTTGTTTACTAAGACCCCCGATCCTCCAAGTTCCTGAAACGACTGTTAGGTTTCTTGGTGTTTTCCGGGCTCTTGTGCCGACGGCTAGAACCAGAGGCAGGAAAAGGACATACCAGGTTGAGCCTATCAGTCGGACCCAGGAACACAAGGATTAAACCGCTCGCATAGAGGCCGGCATATGCTGGCATCAGCACCATGGGCCCTGTGCTCTAATCCTGAACCCCAAAACCCTAAAACCCCAAAACCCTAAACTCGAAGCTTCTGAGGATCCGACCGGAGCACAGCGCAGTGCATGCGGCCCCGGGCCCCGCCGCACACAAACTTTCTTAATGCAGGAACCTGTTTAAGAGGGTTCCTTTTTTTGAACCCAGCTATTTTGGAGTTATAGGCCCAGGGTTCCTGAATCAGGATCCTACATGTTTGACAAAGAGCAGCAGAGTAGATCGCCCTAAACCCGATGCATCTCTCGAAAAGAGCAGAAAAAGGCAGAGATGATCGGAAAAAGGAGCTTACTGTACTGCACAGGCCCTAAACCCTAAACCCCTAAACTCTGACCCCACCTATATTTGACAGGTTTTTGGGCTGTCTTGTAGTTAACTGTGATAGGGAGCTTTCAGGACTAGGACTGGCAAGTATGCAGGCTTCTATGAATACGTGTGTATAGATATGGAGATATGTATGTATACATATATATCTATATATATGTATATGTGTAGGTATACGGGTGGTTGTCAAAGTTATGGCCCCTTTTTGGGTCCCCAATATAATACGGCGCCTATTATTCAGGGTATCCAAAGAAGGACCTCAATTTTGACAACATCGCCACACCCCCCCCCCCCCCCGAACATCTGCGCTATCGTGGTTCTTGGGGCAAGAGGCGCACGAAACACTGTAATGCGCAAAAAACTCCAAAATGTGCAACCTCAGAACCCACGAAACGCTGCAATGCTCCAAAACTCCTAAAGTTCTAACATCTACGGCCAGGCCAGGCCAGTGGCAAATTCCGTACAAATTTTTGAGTTTCTTGAACATTACAGTACTTTATGAGGTTTAGGCTACGAAACACCGTTTTGCTCAAGTTTTGTGAATTTTGAGGCTGTAAAAAGTTGGTTTCTGTTGCGCATTACATTGTTTTGTGAGATTCAGGCCACGAAGCACCATAATGCCCCAAAAAATCCCAAAGTATCCAACCTTGAAACTCACGACACACTGTAATGCTCGAAAAATTCTAAAAATTCCAAACTCTGGCATCTATGCCAGGCCGGGGGCAGCCGGCCTAGCAATAGATGCCAGAGTTTTGGAATTTTTTGAATTTTACAGTGTTCGTGAGTTTCAAGGTTGGCAACGTTGGAAATTTTTGAGCATTACAATGTTTCGTGATGTCCAGATTATGCTGTATCACAAGATAACACTGAGCTTTCAGCCGCTTTCAAAGACTAGAATTGCTACTGTATATGCCTTCTGGAACAGCAAAGGTTTTCATTACTCTTGCGTGATAAGTATGCCGCTACATGTTTCATTTCATGCATGTTTGGGAGGCTGGTAGGTCTATGGCACCAGCAGCACTGGCTCTAGTGTTTGAGTTTTCTCGAAAATGGTTTCGGCCCTTCTTCGGCAAGCTGCACAACCAACAGATCCAAACCTGTACTAATTAATTCCGCTGGCGTGCTAGAGCAGCGCAAGGCTATCTCGAACTTATTTCATTTCATATTGAAGACTGTAGGAAAATGTTTGCATTTTGCTACCATCAGAAACAATGGAGACTTCCTGTGCCGTTTCCTATGAAACAGCAGTTTTCATTCAGTTAACGTTTATGGATGCTGTCCTATACCCTGGAGAAGATACCGATCACTTAGTCCAGGCTGTTTCTTTAATAGCTGCCATGGAACGTAACGCCAAAAAGTAGCTTTCTTCAATCGTCAAGTGACACTCCCTAGATGTGATCAACAAACAAAGACAAACTTGTTTACTGGCATGTTTTATTAATCGGGCAAGAGGTGTGAGACTTCTATGGGGTTTTGTCGAAGCCACCTGCCTCATATCCTGACAAAGCGATACCGGTCCTTCTGTGTATGACTATGGTTTAGACGCTGTGACAGTATATATCACAACATGAAAAGGAGTTCTTTTCAGTCTTCAAAGACTAGAAGTATCATCGTTTCATTTTCTTCTGGAACAAAAGGAGCTTTTTTCTCTAGCTTGATAGGTATGAGGAGGGCCAGTAGTCTTCGTTTATTTCGTCTTGTACCCTCACAAGGAGATGGCGATTGCTATGCACATGGCTGCTCTTGATATCTGTCATAGATCGTGTCACAAGATATAGAGGAGGTTTCTTCCATGACATGCCATCTTTCTTTGTTTTACAAGGATGAGGAACCCCTGCCTTCTGATTGGTACGCACCAATACTGCCAGTGGTAACTAGTCCTGCTTCATGCTTGGAAGTTTGCAAGAGCTCTCTTCATTCTGGAGCCTTCTAGTGCGCCCCCATATGCACATGAAATTTTCAACTCCAGAGGAGCTTTCCCATTTCTTAGGAGGCAAAGACCAGCTATCGGAGTACGGCTTCAAAAAATAAAAGCAATCGTACATTCGACTTACTTCATGTATAACGGAAAGGAGATGAAAGGAGGTCCCTGTCTCTGCTCAGTCGTAAATCAAATGCTAGAGCTCTTAGGCCGCATCAGAATCGGACGCTTCACGATCAGCGGGAAAGAGATGACCCACGCACACAGACTTCTTCGTAAAAGAAACGATAGCATTTTTGTTCTTAGAGGAATGTTGTTACTGAATACCAAAAAACACTATAAACGCAAAAAACAAGGTTTTTAATACTACTACACGGCCTCCAGCATTTCAGCGTATCCAACACATAAACTGTCGTAAATCTGCGGCCGAGATTCGGCGCAAGATGTATTTATTTATATATATATACACATATATATATATATATATCAAACCCGCGACTTGTAGCAGCACGCTTTGCATGCACATGCCAAGAAGCACTATTGTATCGGTATTTACGGTGTTTTCGGCATATATGGGTAGTGGACCAGTGCAGAGAAGCAACCTGTGGAATCGTGTGGAAGAGGCGGCTGTAGATCTTTGGGGGGCGGGGAGTGAACATACATAAATATATACATATGTATATATACATACATATATATATATACATACATACATACATACATACATACATATATATATATATATATATATATATATAGATATACATGCGTGTGTATATATATATCTCTCTCTATATATATACACACGCATGTATATCTATATATATATATATATATAGATATACATGCGTGTGTATATATATATACATACATACATACATACATACATATATATATATATATATACATACATACATACAGACATACATACATACATACAGGTATATACATGCATAAATATGTATATGTATAAATAGGTTAGCAAACGTGAAGGGTACAGCGTGAATGGTACAGCCCAAACACTTCAGCCCATTGTCTCGTGACCAGACTTGCAAATATTAAGGCAGTATAGAAATGCCATGGTATAGGGTATTGCATGGTGTTGTACAATATAGTATAGTATAATTCAGTATTTAGCATAATACTGTACCATAAAGTAAAGTCACTACCATCAGCATCATCCAAAAACATGACTGTTAACAGCAGAAGCTGCAGCATCGCATCCTCATAATTCGACAAAAACAAGACAGAAGTGTTTGATTTCTTCTACTCAACATAGTCGTGATACACCCATACTGCTTGAGACAGCAATTACAGCCACCAGAGTCACTAGAGCAAGCATCATCGAAAAGATTACCCCACAATTAGGGCAGGATTTCTGCCGATTTTGCGAAAAAACTGCTAATCCTACCGGAGACACACATATCAATCGCTTCAAACCTGAGTTTAAGCTGTCCCCGAAGCTGTTGCATTTTCTGCTTCTTTTACATGCATAGTTCTAGTCGACGCCTCATGTGGCATCGGGTCCTGGTACTTGAAAAACCCCATGATGGGAACAGGATCTGCTTCGCGTTCTCTGCCTCTCCCGTGGGCTTCAGAAGCACAGGGCACACACACACACACACACAGAATCCAGGCGCACGTGAATCCGGTTCGCTTCAGTGGGAGCAGATTCTTAGCCCCTAAACCCTAAACCCCCTAAACCCCCTAAACCCCCTAAACCCCCTAAATCCCCCTAAACCCCCTAAACCCCCTAAATCCCCCCAACACTTTGAAAGCAGAGCTCCCGAGCCTCCCGGCAGCAGAGATTTTCGTCCACGTCGGGAACGATTGGCCAAAGCAGCACTGCTACAACAGGGCGAAACTACTACAATACACTATAAGATACTTTGATACACTTTAAGATAAACCAGAGTCGAGGCCGGAGCTTCACTGAAGATCGAGCCTCTATGGCGGCAGACCCGTAGACTTCAACAGCTAATTTGTCTGTGCAAGCAGCTTTGAAGCGTCAACAACCATCCAGACCTTCACTGACATAGCTGGCAGCTTGAAGAACATGAAGTCAATATCCACCGTCTTGTGCCTGAACTTCCAAACTGTTCAAAACTGCCTGAGCCCTAAACCCTCTCTCGGTGTCCAATGATCCGAGCAAGCCGCGTCAAGTGCTTCTGTAAATCTGCCTTCTGCTTCATCTGCGACTCCCTTCGCAAAGCTGCGACTACCAAGCGGTGCAAGCCAGGAACCGACCGCCTGAATGCCATGATCTCTTCCCAAATTTCCATGACCAGGTCGCTTGGGTGCTGCTCCAGAACCTGACAATCTACCCGCACACGCTTCTCCGAAGCTTCCCTGGTGCAAGCAGAGCGTCCCGAGGCCTCAAGCAGGGATCTTGCCAGGACCTTGCTCCAGCGCAGAGGAGCCGCGCATGGACCCATTATTATGACTATACAGTATACAAAATTGAAGAACACATTAGTGCTATACTTATTCTTACTAATAATGCTTGATATGGTTGTGTTTACTATTACACAAGGCGAACGAAGCGAACACACTGCCACTCGTCTCCACGGTTCTTTGTGGTTAATGCGAGAAGGCAGCCCCATGATAGTCCTTTATCGTCCCTACCTGGAGGAGCAAGGGACTTAGTAAGTAAGGTCATAAGCACCTTGATGGAATATTTGGAAGTGATAACTAACGTTACCATATTTATAACCCTAGTTACTCAGTCCCGTGATCCTTTAAGTATAACCCGTGCCTGCATTCCCTACTAAGAACCGGGGGTCTTTTTGGACGCTGCGCCGCGAGCAAATCACAGCCTTTGGCTCAGCTATCCGAGAGGTCGATCACGTCGCCTGGTCAGACTGCAAGGCTAGGTCCAGCAAGCGACCAGCGTTAGTATTCTCATGATTGTTCTTGTTCTTGTTAGTTCTATGATGACTAGCACAACGATTATGATTCCAAGAACTGAAGAACATGTTACTGCTAGTAATATTGCCATTAATATTACTACAAGAATTTTAATGGTCTTGATAGCATTACTGTTATTAATATCGTCAGTGCAGCTGAGATTGTTATTGTTGTGACTGTTGTTATGTTTATTGGTGTTATTCGTGTTGTTGTTTTGTTGTTACTGTTCATATTTCATTATTGTTGTCATTGTTTTCAATACTACTATTGGTAATTGAGACTAGTATGACGATTATTACTATTAACTGCCAATACTATCATTGTCAACTTCCGGCATTTGGGCTCCCGTATGCTCCCGCCTTCCCTATCGCGCTTGGTGCCCTTGGCAGCAGAGTCCGCCCGCCATAACCTGCGGTGTGCTCAACGCGTAAGGGTTTAAGGTTTAGGGTTTGGGCTTAAGGATTAAGGCTTAGGGATTTAGGCTTTTAACGTCCCCCCAAGTACACCCCACAGTAAGTCTAGTAGCCCTTGCAGGAACCCCCTAAAATTACAGAACGGGGGACCCTGGGAGTGCGCCTCTGCCGTGATTTACGCGCGCGTCTTAAGCCCTTACAGAACCCTTCTGGTATCCCGATATCTAGTTGCCCTGCTAGTACCTCAAGTGGTAACATGATTATCAGAGAATAAAGAACCCAAGCAATTACTACTGGTCACCTTATTGCAGAGGTCCTTACAGGGCCGCTTGCAGCTTGGTGAACCCAGCATACCTACACCGCCGGAAGGATCCGAAAAGTAGGTCCCCACTTTGGGACTACACTAATACAGGGTATATACTTTATAGTACCCCCCCCCCCCCCCCCGCCGTTACAAAAGCCCTTAAAGGAACCTAAAACCATTAAAGGAACCCTCTTGAAGGAGCCCTGGCAGCCTGGGAGGGGGCCACGGCGGTGAGACATCGCTCTTGCAAGCAGCGAGATGCCTCACTGCAGTTCAGGGTCCAGGGTTTAGAGCGCAAGGCTTCGATTTAAGGGTTTCGGGTTTAGGGGTTTAGTGGCTTAGGGTGTAAAGGGCTTGGAGTTGAGGGGTTTAGGGTCTCAGGAGCTTGCATGAAACTTAGAGTTTAGGGTGTAAGGTGTGCTCCACAGGTCGCACACTGATAAACGCGTTGTAGTGTAAAGTCATGCTCACCCCAAGACCACCGATACACAGCTCACAGCGAGCCAAACCGGAGCCAGCCAAAATCTAAGCCAACACCAGCAAGCCAAGAACCCTGTCCAAGCAACAGTTAGGGTTTTTGGGATTTGTGCGGGGGTACGTCCTGGGCCGAAGGGCCCAGAAATTGATATTTCGATCTGTGGAGGAGCCGGCTCCCGCCTGGACACTATTTAAACGCTGGGCTACTGGACTCGCATGTAACCGTGAAGGTTTGGAAGCCCAAATCCGTGCACCTCTTTCCACATGGGCTCGCCTCAAGTCGTGACGGATTGGAAGACGCCAATTGTCCAAGCAAATAAATTTGTTTGGGCCTTGTCGTTGATTATCTATCTGTGGGCTCCAGCCCCTGTCCAAGCAACGTTAAAGGTTCGCACTGGAGTACGTTCTGGGCCGAAGGGCCAGCGTTGGGCTATGTTAGGAGGTGTTCCCTGAATTGTGCGGCATCAGTTTTTCACGGATTTTGGAGCCGGGGCCGTGTCCGAGAGCGTGTCCGGCTCCACGTTCTTGAAAGGTTGTTGTCCAAGTTGGAGGCCGCCTCAAGTCGTAACGGATTGGGGCCCGCAATCCTTGTCGATTTGGAGCAGCCCAGACTTGCCTTAAGTCGTGAAGGATTTCCTTGTCCAGTTGGAGGGGCCCCAGATTCGCTTCAAGTCGTGAAGGATTGGGGGCCCCAATCCTTGTCCAGTTGGAGGGCGCCTCAAGTCGTGAAGTCGGGACCCAATCCTTGTCAATTTGGAGGGCTTCCCCAGGCTCGCTTCAAGTCGTGGCTTTCTGCGAAGGCAAAATCCTGAGGTTTAGGGGTATTACATATGTGCACTCAGGGGCAAAGCCTGCTTGGTCTCGCTGAGCGCTCGACTGCGCGCGCTTACCCCAACAGAGGTGAGAGGGGTGGCGGGCGGGCTTAGGGTTCAGGCTTTGGGTTTAGGGTTCAGGGTTTGGGGTGTGGGGCTTAGGGTGTTGGGGGCAGTATTTCCCAGGTCATGCGGCCTCAAGCTATGCCAGCAATAACCAGCAACTCGGACAACGCCAAAAGCCACAGACTCATAGCAACCTGGTTAGCAGCCCTAAACCCTTCTAGGCTTTCAGGGTTTCGGGATAGAGCCTGCACCATAAACTCCGAACCACAAATCCTAGGGTCGTGGATGGTCGTGGGACTTTGTAACTGGGGTTAAAAACAAATCAAATTAACGATACGTATAATCGCTTATAACCCCAACCAAGATATTTATATACAACCTAACTATCTTACTAAGTCCTTCGATCCTCCAAGTACACATGTGAAACCCAACCGGCCTCAACCCCAGACCCTCTGCCCCAGAGCCCTCAGCCCTAAAGCCCTGAGCCCTAAACTCCTGAGCCCTAAACCCTGAACCCTGAACCCCAGATTCTTACTGACTGTACTTGGAGGATCAGGGGCATGATCCTTGAAGTAACCCTAAACCCTGAACCCTACCTCAGCATTCCGCACGCTCCGCCTCTTTAGCCCGGCAAAGCTGCGTCCAAAGTTCATGCCACAACCTGATTCGGGTTGGGTCAAGAGGCTTGGGATTTAGGGCTTAGGCAAAGGGAGTTTACGGCTTAGGCTCTAAGGGTTGGGGTTTAGGTTTTAGGTTTTAGGTTTTAGGGCTTAAGCTAAGGGAGTTTACGGCTCGGGCTCGAGGGCTCACGTTTAGGGTCATTCTCATCATCGTCATGTCAATGTCATCACTTCTTGCTTCCTCACCAATCATCACCGTGGTCGTCCACTGTCTGTTGAGCACCGTCACCACTATCATCAGAACCACGAGCATCATCATTGCTTTGCTGACAGAGGCCGTCATAGTTCATTCACCCCAGGTACCGAAAACAGTTCTCCAACAACCCGATCGTCGCGATAGTGCGGTGGTAGTTTCGCAATAACCATCACAATGGCTGGCAACGCAAACAAGAACGGTGACATCATCACCCACCATCGTTGGACTACCAGCAACACTGCATCAGAAACAACACACTCACATCACCAGAAATCTTGCTTCGCATAGCCACAGCATGTCAACGACGGTCCTCGGCACTATCATGCTACTGGCCTTTACTATATGCCATATGCATCACTGCCATCACAACTTTACAGAGAAAAAAGTGCTATAACAGCATTGATACGCATCGTGATCATGATTCTTGTAAAGAAACTGAAATGCTCATGTTGATTCTGGCAGCCTCCTTTAGGCCTCTATGCTTCCCAAGGCTCGATGGCAACACAGGGAGCGCTTCTTCATGTCCTCGTGAAGACCTTCCAAATACCTGCATGCACGCTCGCATCATCGTAAATCAAGGTCTGGTTTAGCGTTTATGTAGACATCGCATGGGTCGACGACACGTAGCAAGATGCGAAAAACTTATGGCCTTTCTGGAAAGCCACCTCTTTCCTGCAGGGTAGATAACACTTCGTCCAACGAGACCTTGGCAGCTCGCACCAACTCTTGGCCCGCGATAGCAGTGCATCATGAGAGACACGCAATAATGCCATTTTTAGGTCTGCTTACTATGATTCTTTATTTGTATGATCAGTAGTAGTAGCAGTAGTCGTCGTGGTCGTCGTCGTAGTAGCAATACTAGTCATCGTCATCGAGCAAAAAACAGACTATAACGCCACTGAGGTGGTGACTGACTGTTAGTAGTTTTGATAGAGAAGCTGAGCTAAGCACCAGAAAAGGTGGCCGAAAGGAATCTCGGCAAGAGCACGGCACAACCCATGTGCGACAAAGATGCCGAGAATCGGAACTCTTGCGGCATCCTGCTGTGAATCCAATTTTGACCAAGCGTCTGAAATGCTTTGCATTCCTTGGTGTGCACAACTGCCAGTGTAAGCTGTCATCGGGAAGAAAATCGCGAGCAGATTACTCCCCATTCATGCGTGGCGGCTGCCGCTAAGCGTCGCAGTGGATTACAATTAAAGCGATAGTAACAATAGTAAAACGATAACCCGAAACCCCTAAACCCTAAACCCGAAACCCTAAACCCGAAACCCATAAATAAAGCCACAAAACGCGAAAAGCAACAGCGCTCCGGGAGCGAAAGTCTGCTCAGAGCAGTTTTAGGAATCTCAGGGATAGGGTTTAGGGTTTAGGGTTTAGGATTTAGGGTCTCAGGGATCTGAGTGTTTCTGGAAATCTCCCAAGCTGGCCATGGACACATGGGTGGTCCCTTTTTGGGTACCCTAAATATTAGGTGCCGTATCATAATAAGGACCCAGCAAGGGACCCTAATTTTGACAACCACCCACAAGACATGAGCGTCA